ATTCTCATTATCTTGGTTCTCACCACAGCGTAATTCAACCTGGGATATTCTCGAGGGACTACGACCATGTGCAAAACAAGGGTCATGTGACAGTAAGACAGTCAAAGGAATACGTATGCTACTGAATAGGCTAATGTTATACTGTAAGAAGGTAATCACTGCCAGAGGAGAAGCTTGCCAGAAACAGTGCCCCAGGTCTTGCATGTCACTGTGGACCCTGAGACTTCCAAAGCAACGCTCCTGTATGAGCTCTACTTATTTCTTTCCTGTGGGGGAACCTTTCATCCGCAGCTTTTTGACTTTAAAGTAATGGGCTTTTATAGTTATTTTTTCTTCTGTATTGCATTTAGCAAACACATTTTTTTTCGAGTTTGTCCTTACTTGTCATGTTCCAAAAGAAGCTCAGTGAGAGTCACAAAAAGTCTTGTTCTCTACTTAAGTGTCATGTTCTAAACTTGTACCGGACTCCTGTTATTCTTTATTGTCTACGTTTGCAGAAAATAGCCTCTAGCTTACAAAAGCACAGCAGAAAACACATATCAAGGGAAAGGTTACCATCATTCAGGAGAAGTGGTTGAGCTGAGGAAGCAAAATAGTGCCTTTCATTTCCAACCAGTCAAGTCACTCTGCAATAATATTCAACAGTAAGCAAGTCACAGAAATAACATGGTGCTATCTGGCAAGAAACTACTGTTCAGTCAAGAGAAATTGGGTTTCAATGTGCTAGACTGAAAGACTGTCAAAAAGAGTGTTAAATGGGAATTGCTTTAAGCCATAAAGCTACTATAGTATCAGTTCTGTCTATTCAAAATGCTCAGACTTAAAGGACATGGAAAATATCATGCGGTTTGAAGGGAAATGCAGGGACATTTTATGTGAAGAGCTGTTTTCATGATTGTCTTGCCTGTGCATCTCAGGCTTTTTGGCTATTTAGATGCTCACGCTGTAAAGCACGCCCCTTCCCTTCATCAACCAAATACGCCTCATTGCATGCTGGTTCAAAATAAGAAAAGCTGGTTAACAACATCAGTCCCAGCTCATTAGCTACACTGACACTAAAGTTGCTGCTCCCCTGTATATCTATTTCATCACCATTCCTTTATTTTGCGGTGTTTAATCTAAGACATCAAACAGAGCACCTTACAAAGAACAAGAAGACATAAAACCCCAAATTTCATTTAAAATGAATGTCACTTCCAATCACTCAGCAAGGGAGCTCATTATGACTTTAGCTGTGCTCATTATAATCAAATGGAATCTGACCTTTTGTCCCATTGCACTGCTTTGAGAGGGGCTGTAGGCTGTTGATAAAGAGGGGAGTGACAAGGGTTCTGATGGTGAATTTGAATTATCTGTGGGAGATTGATAATATGACATAAAAGTCCATGTATACTTATTCTAGATAAAAAAAGAAAGCATGCTGATAGAAAGGTCAGGTCTTTGTGGAATACTTAAATCCCTTTTCCTCAGCAGGAATATAATGAAATGTAACATAATGAGCAGCTATTATCACAGGTTCTGCTTTTGTTTCCACTCTTCTCCACCGTCTTTGTGTGTGTGTGTTGTGTGTGTGTTGTGTGTGTGTGTGTGTGTGTGTGTTGGGGGGGGGGTGTCTGTTGAACTAAACTTTGGCATTGCTGAAGAGGAGGTACTGAATGCAAGTTCCAGGTAAGGTAAGAAGATGCCAGCAGTGCTGTCAAGTGATTCACCAAACAGACGCGTTGTCAACATTAGTGACTACAATTAACAAGTCAGTATCATCAGTCACAATTTGACTACTTCACCTGTATTGACCAAGACAACCAATGCTTTACAAAGATGTCCAGGCTCTGCCTGGTATTTGGGAAGAGGAGGTCATTAACAATGACCTGGAGTCAGCGGTTTGAAATGAAAGGTGTACGAGAAGATTTCTCAGTATTTGGCAAAGGTGGGGACAACAGACAGTCAAACTGAGCTGGGACAATTTTTAAGATGAAACAATGTTAAAAATATGGGATCACAAAGCAGTGGTGCAAAGTGAAAAGCTACAGAGTGGTTTGATAGCATTTTCCAGCAGTGCCCTTTGATTTTGCGTTGGCATATGAACCCTACACAGTATATAAGATAACAATTAATAACAAAATCAACCCAACTGAGCACTTGTGGGACAGACAATGTAAGAAATAACTGACACTGTCTGTCCCACAAGCATTCAGTTTGCTTACAAAACAGCACATAAAAATTGCAAAGTCATGGCTTTTGCATTTTTATCTGCATATACTCACATTGCCCAATTTTTAAATTACTGTGGAAACACATGAATTAACCTTGTACCAAAGTCTCACAAGTTTCTTACACAACAATTAACCTTGTTACAAAACCTCACAAGTTTCTTACAAGTTTAGGTCATGGGTTGTAAAGTTCCACTACACAGACTACTAGATGCAGTATGAGTATACTCTAGGTTACTATTGGACACTGGTCTTGCTAGAACAGTTTTTTTTCCTTTATAGTTCTCTTATGATGTACTTGTTCAATTTCACAGTTCTTCTCACTGGCCCTCTAGATGGGTATATAATGGGGATAAATGGCTGACAATTTCCTGAACAATTGAACCCTAGAATGGTTATTATCATGATAAATTGTGAAAATTAGACAAAACTTGGGTGTTTTGCACACAAAAGTAATGAATATTAAAACTAGTGGAGGACACTGATTCAGTATAAAGCAGTGGATGCATCTATTATTTGTTTACAATAAGCACATCAAAGTTCAAGGTGTTTAGAAGTGGAGATGAACCCTAAACACTATGGAGTTCTTTCCAAGAACAAAATCCCCTTCCTTATAGGATGTGATGTGTTTCATGTGTACTGAAGCAGTGACAGCAGACAGGAAAAGAAGATAGATCAAAAGAACTGGGTAGTTAGCAAGATCAGTGCAGCCACTATGGCTGTACAAAAGAAAACGCTGCGTACGAAAACTCAAAACTTCTTCAATCGAAGACAGTAAATAAAGAAATAAATGCCAAAACTCAAAGGAAAGCAATTCTGCCTAAAAGGAAAGCAACCAAGCCAAAAAACAGAATTAACACTGGCATTGCTTTCTAAAGATAAAAGGCACTCCATATTCAGAAAGAACAATGGGAATTTTTGTTATACTTTGTTGCCTCTAGGAAAAATAGCATCTTTTAACATACAGTCACGTTTAAGGTGAAATGTTTTATTTGCATCTCTGCATCCTAAAAGACACATTTAAGTATATCAATAAACTACTGATCTACTGCCTCTGTGGAATTAGACCTAAGAATCAATGTACTGCAAAGGTTTGTGCCTTTTTCTGAACAAAACTTATAGTAAATTATAGAAGTGATGGAGAAAATTCTGCCAAAAAAGCAATTACTTCCTTTTCTTTCGCACATACTGACAACTTCATCTTAAACCAAACTATGAAATAAAATTGACACATATCCATCCATTTATTTTCTATACTGCTTACAGGCTGTGAGAGCTGGAGCCTATCACTGAGCGTGAGCGAGGGTACATCCTGGACAGGCTGCCAGTCTATCATAAAACTAAAAAGAGACACATTCACACCTACAGGCAGACTGGGAATGAGTGTAAACCCACACAGTCACAGGTGGAGGAGTCTATTTCTTTCAACAAAAAAAAAATCACAAATGCTGTTTCTACTGCCGTGGTCCAATCATCAATCATCTTTTGCCACCTGTTTTGAAATGCTGAATGTCTCCAAAGTAGATAGAGAGATTAAGACTATTCCCCTCGGATGACATTTTGAGGTTGGTGAGAAAATGATTTACGACTTAACTCGGCCTTCACTGGAGTCTGTCTTTGTCTCTTTAAAAGGACTATAAAATGTAATCAGGTAGCAGTTAACAGCCAACACTTTGTCTGACCCTCACACCCACAATGTGTGATGGCAGCCGCGCTGAAACACAACAGCCCCTCTATCCTCTTCACTTCTCTCTGTTTTGTTTCAGTCTGCGTCATCCTGCATTTGTTCCTATCCTTGAAGACATGAGCCACCACAGGAAGGGTGAGCTCAGCCAAATGAGTCAGAGAGAGGAGAAGCTGTTGTGAAACTGAACAAAGCAGGAACACATTTACTCAAACAAACGTGAGCTCTACTTTTACAGGGACATTTTATAATGGAGCAGATCTGTAATATAGGACGATTTTAAATCTGGCACGTGATAAGGCCCTGAAACAAGAAGTCTTGTTTCTCTTATGATTCATTTTGTTGCAGTTAAATTAACACTATTAAAATACTAATTTTAGTCAATATCAGCTCTGTGTTGCTGTTTACTGATCCCAAATTTAAAGTGATATCACTCAGCAAAACTACCAGAACAACCTCCAGTCAGATAAGCTAAAAAAACCAAAAAGAAGTGTGTATAATTAAGTTGTAAATTTAGGGTTCTCCCTATCCACAGCGCCTGCTGTGTCAACCTTGGCTGTGACAGTGTCAGTGGCAAGCAATCTGTCACCCACTTTAGGTTCAGGCTTAAATATTTCAACAGCCTTAAGAAAAAGTGCTGAAGTGGCTCTGTGTGAATTCCTCTACTTAGCAATTAAAGCAGCCTGGAATTCACAGAGACAGCTCCACTATTGGCAAAGGGCGCAGAGATCAGCTTAAAAAACTTAATTTTTTTAACAACAACGACAACAACCTGAAGCCTTTTTTTTTTTTTTCTTTTTGCTGGATCACAGTGTAAAAAAAACACAATCTGTAAAGACACTCACCACACACAGTGCACAAAGGCGTATGCAACGAGGACATTCTTTTGTGGAAATGCTTCTATTTTTAAACATATTAATAAAAATAAACTTGCATTGAGGCTTTAGGTGTGATGTTCTTTTTTTCTGTTACAAGCACCGAAGCAATTCAAGCTCTTTGTACCTCTTACACTAAAATACCCACAGTGTAAGATATCAACAAAAGTAAGCAGAGATAACTCTGAAGTCAAAGATTGTGTAGCACTGAAGAAATGACTATTTTCTTACCTGTGACTGATAACTCAGTAGTCCTCCGAACCACAAAGTTCCCAAACTGCAATTCGCAGGTGTAATTCCCAATGTCATCTTCCCGTACTTCCTTGATGGACAGAGTGTCCCTCCTCCTTTCTATGGTTTGTCTCCACTGCTTTGGCTTGCATTCCTTTATTCAAACGAGCATGGGGATACAGAATGTTAAAAATGAAGCAAATACACTGATTTAGTTTTACTGTCGGCTTCCAATTGTAGCTGCTGTTTGAAATGTACAAAAAACTCTAATCATTAGCAACAGAGACGAGACATTATTTGTTTCATCTTAAGCATATTGAATGAAAAAAGGGTAAATCCATAGAGGGCTCTTTGTAACTAAACTGTCATGAAGCACTACAGTAGCTTTCCACACAGTCATACGTCATGGTGGAGAGGCCTCAAGCTCTCCCCAAATTATGCTAAATTAGTTTGGTGCACCGCTGTTGCCCAGACTCTAATACTTTGTTAACTGGGATTTATGAGGTTGAATGGCTTTGCGTTTATCATTCTGAGACAAGACAACATTACTGGATCGGGTTGCAATAAATGTTTCATTTCATAAAACCTACCGGTACTAAGTTTATGTGTGAAGTCCTTTCTAGTTTCTAGTAGCAATTTACTTAATTGGGTTGCACCATGAATCTTTAAGAAAAGTGACATGAATTGCAACTATTCAGGCATATGAAGTTTGTCATTAATGATTGGTTTTGATTTCTGATGTGATAGCCAACGACAAGCCTGTGATGCATGTTCACAATGGATTTAGAGAATTATCACCAGTGTGTATTTGTATTGATAGAGGGCACTGTTCGTCAAAATAGAAAATAGTACAGCTAAATTCCTGATTGTGTACATTTAAATCTAATGCAATGCAGTCCTGAGCAATTCTTGTGGTTATATTATAGTTAGATATGAACTCAAACTTGGTCTTGGTGGAGCACTAGAGCTTCGGTCTTTTGGTCTTGACTCCATCTTTAACCAATTTGAACATTTCAGTCTTGGGTCAGATTCAACGACTTCCACCAGCAGTCGGGCTAAAAACGACCCAAAGGACACTGCACAATACACAACAATGTAAGGTATAAAATGGATCCCTACAGCATACTATTATGTAGCTGGTGCATAAGTATGGCCTTCCATAGACAGTCAGGGCCTTTCAGATTTTGGGCCACAGAACACCTGAGGCAAAGGAAACTGGGGCATTGTGGGTTTGGTTTCAAACTGTGGTCCAAGACAGGCCACCCAGAATTCAACCAGCCCCACTGACAAAGTGAGAGCCAATAACTAGAGGGTGTGGAGCCCACAGCACACTTTCACGTTTGATAAATTGGCCCCCGAGCTTCACATAACAGCTCTGTCAAAGTGGCCTGTATTTGAGGTCTGACTGGGTCAGTTACACTGTGGACGCTCCATGAGGAGGAAGAGAAAGTTTAAGTCCATGAATACAGTGAATAGATTTATTTTTGTAGGATATACAGTATATATATATTATCTTGATGCTTTTAGTTTCAGAAGTCTAGAGATGAGATGGTATTTGAAGCTAATTAGATTTGAATATAGCTGATATTAACAAGGTTATTCTTCAAATAAATTACTAAATTCCCTGTGTAGCTTTTTAATTTTAAAGTGGCAGAGAAAATCCTTTGTTTAGACAACATCTCTCTTTTCTCCCTGTTAAAGAAAAAAAGAACACAACGACCAAAAACATCTTAATTATTTGTGCAAACAACAAATAAAACAGGTGCATCTTACCTTGTACCATACAATCTCTGGCTCCACTCCCGGCTGTATATAATCCTCAATGCCTGGGCAGGTAATGTCTTTGCTTTTGCTTAGTTCAGCCTTCTCAAAGAACCTCATTTTGGAGTTGTAGCAGAGGTCTGTGTCGTTTTCTGCCACTGTGAGCGACATGGACACCTTCATGCAATACGTTGAGTTCCTGCAAAAACACAAAGATGATGAATCAGTCCAAGAAATAAATGAGTTTTTATCATATGGAAGTCTTGCAGCAAACAAAAGCTACCAGCAGTCCATCTCTGGCTTCAAAGAAACTCAGGGTCTGTTCCACAATGCTCATTCCTCAGATTCCATGTGAATTACTAATTTCAGCAGAAGATAGAAAGAAACCTTTCTTTGGAAAATCATTTTCACATTTTATGTCACATTTATTTTTGGCAAAAACCAACCAACCAAACACACACACACACACACACACACACACACACACACACACACACACATACATGTATTGCTTACATGTGTGTACAAGAGGCAGGGACATGGGTGGTAATATGGAGCGACAGCTTTGAATGTCAACAGCACTTGAAGATTGATTGAGCCTTTTGTTTTCACGTGTTAAGCAGATACAGAGCTAGCTAGCAGAAAATTACTTGCTACAATTGATGTACTGTAACTGCTCAGGTCATATACATAAAGAAGAGAATTTATAATGCAAGGGAAAGGGGGTGTAAAATGCAAGATTACTTGTAATGTTTGGAGACTACATGCTTGCCTGGGCCCACAGATACTGATGAGTATTCATCCAGTGGAAAAAACATTTCATTTCACTGCTTGGTATTGTAGTATACCTACAGTGATATGTGTTGCCCCTCCATTGGGAACACTTGTCTTTCAATGTTAAACAAATCTGGGATCCAGATCAGATTTAGCCCGGCCCTGCAGAGTGATGCTCCACTGCCATAAAAGGGGAACATACGGCTGCTAGGCATCTACAGCGGTCCTGTTTGGAGATTGGATCTCCTGCTTGAATAATTCTTAAGAGAACATGGGAATCAATGAACACATTGAGTCCCTGTGAATGTTGTGCTATTTGAAGGAGGGGAGCTGAAGCAGAGGTCCTTGATGATCAATGAATTCAATAAGAGCACCTTTTCTTCGCTAAAACTGTCTAATAAGACTGTCACGTTTGACAAGTACTATGGCCTGACTGCAGTAAATCCCTCCTGGTTAAAAGACCAAACAAATTGGCAGTGTTTAGGAAAATCTCATTGCTAATTTTCCAACTAAAGCTGGTTACACAAATTGAGCTGAACCAACAAACAATTACAAACATGTTAAATCCTTACATAATTGCGCAGCATTAGCTGCTTTGTGGATTAGTACAACACACACTGGTCTTCGCTACAGTGGCGGAAAACAATCCCTCGCCCTTCGAACTGGCCAGTGCCATGCTCTGCGCTTACAGTAAGTGTGCCATTTTCATGAAGCTCGGATGCAAATGTGACATGATGTGGAGATTATCCCAGACAACTTCTACCAGATGGACACCTGTGCAAATGAGATCCCACGGGTGCGCTCTCTTCCCTGTTAAATATTCTGGGCAGCACTGATAAACTCGCCCGCTGGAAGAGAGTGAGAGAGAGACAGAGGGAGAGAATTGTGTCATCTGCTCCGCATGAGTGATCGATGGTGTGGGCCAACACTTTGTCCTACAATGTCTTTCCAACATTTCACATCCATCACGATGCCTTTTGAGCCTGAAGAGCCAGGTGATCTCTTGACTATTCACTAAGCAGGTGTAATATTCATGAAGCCTATGCAAAGCAAGTAAGCGAGAAAACTATCCGACTGCTGCACACTCCAGAGACCTCACTGTTTACTACGCACTGAGCATTCAACGCTTGTGGAACTCTGCGTACTGCAGATACAGTGATAACAAGCTAGGTGATACCATGGCATTAATGGGTGAGGATGTCTGTCAAAATGTGTCAAACTGAAGGGGATATGCAATGTCGTGGCAATGATAGATAACATCCTGCATACATCAACTTAGAGAAGTGTGAGGCTGACAGCTACTGTATATGGCTGGAGGGCAGGCAGAGGACTTGAGCTGCACTATGCAGCAAATGCAGAGAAATTATGTGCAACGGTCAGTTCAGAGTTAAGCAGCCTTCTGAAAGGATTATGATTGGCTATGTGAAAATATACCAGACTCTCTTTACTGAAGACACTCATGGGATTTTGCATTGGTTAAATTTATGGGTTCATTTATAGATGCAGCCATTGCTACATTCAGAGTTAGATCCCTCCTAATCACATAAGAAACAAACCATATACCCAACCATCTAATACATATTTTCTTCTTTTATTTTATTGACTGTCAGTGGATCTACCCACAGAGATGAACACCAGATGGAACCTGCCCTACAACTCAGCAAGTGTTCGCTCTGATATTAAATAATAGGGATCAGAATTGATTTGAAATTCTCCTGGGAATCCATGGCACCTGTGGGGAAATTAATGAACTAACTTAATGAATCTCTTAATTAAAATAACTCCTCTCTAATAGAAATTGGATGATGAAATAATTGCTGATTACTCATTAGAGCTCACATTCAACTAACAATAATGTTCTTGGAGAACTGTCTCAGTATAAAGCGGATGTCACAGGGTGAGAGGTCCAAAGATTAAAGGTTGCCTCGGCATGCTGTCATTACAGGGCAGAGAAGGATACCAATCCACAGATATCAACCCTATAGAGATTTAATATAGCATGTAATGCAGTACAGTAACATTGAGGTCACAACTCAGGATTTTTTTAGTATTTAAATAGAGATTTACCTTGGTGCAGCTTTCAATACAATGTATTCTGTAATAAAAAAGTTCCTTGCTATGTGTATTTACAGAACATGACTTTGATTCTCACTGTCTGAAACTACTTATTTATTTAATTTATTATCTTTTAAATGTCATGTCTAGGAGACAAGAAAAGCTACTGAACTGCTGAAAAATGAAAACTGTGTGTCAGCCTATTTTGAGAAGATTGTCATTGTTAATATGGCAGCATCCCAACTGTCTCATCAGCATTCAGAAAAAGGTTAAGCCCTTTCTTCGTCCAACCATGCACAACCTCCATCACTGCAGCATTTTGAAAAAATAACACAGATGTGTTCCTACGGTAATCAGGGCATCAGGCACAGTAGAAATACTGCTAACATCTGCCAAGTCATTACCCTGTCCCTTATTAGCACCATATGTGTATAGATTTGTGTGTCTCGAGCATGCAGCATTGGAGTTAAGCACTTAACTGTAAATTCAAGGCCAGTTTAAACCAGTTTAAAATCAAAGATAGGAGCCCTAACTGACACCAGAACAGGGCTCTCTCTTAAAATAATCCTTAATTCTTTATATAATTGTTAAATGTTTTGCAGTGCTTGAGTCAAACTTTTGATGTTTTAACAGCGGTGACAAAGAGTGCTGTTGCTGTTGGGCTGAGATGTGGTGCCTGAGAGAACCATGATTCATACCGTTTTCATCAAACTAGTGACCCCTCATGTCCTGTGTAGGAGCATTTCCTTTGTTTTCTTTATCAGATTGTTGTTTATTGTGATTTTTCCTTTAAACCATCAAGATTTTTGATAATCCTAATATTTGAGATTAGGCTCAAGTATTACATTTCTGGACACAGGTGTAACTTATAGCATGTGCAACAGCTTCCATACAGTGTGTCAATGTCCATTACATCAGCCCTCAGTAGTGCTGTACTACCTTCCCTGTCCACATTAAGCCAAGATGAACCCAGACCAAGACAGGGCTGGCCCAGTTATCCTAAATCAGTATTTTATGGTCCCTGTATTATTTATGGCCAGAGCGAAGGTCATAGTGAGCAGTGGGAAGACTGGGTCTCCTACCTGTAGCACCCGCTCATAACTCACCTGTCAACTGTAGCACCAAGCCCAGGATGATAAAGCACCCCGGCTCCCTAAATCTGACTGTGGGCCAACTTGCTCCTACTTAGCCCCTGTCTAAGAGTGTGGCACTTGTCTGCCATGCTGGAACAACCAACTCCGGCCTCAATTATAATCCATACTACTCTCTCTTTCCCTCTCTCTTTCTCTCTCTCCCTCCCTCCCTCCGGTCATGGTTCATCTCTGTCCCTGCCTTCACCCGCCCAGTCGCCCTTTTCTCTCCTGTCTTGTAGTACACGATTTCTCAGGGAGGAACACACACCTCTGTGGATAATTTAGTTTTGCCACGCTGTGAAAAACACATGCCTGCACCTGTCTGCACACTTGTACCCACACATATGAGCGTGTAAACAATTAAAGATAAAAAGCAGTATTTCTGCATTGTGCGATATGTAAGAAAGAAAAGCTTCCACAGAACTACAGTACAATTTCATTTACGTAGTGGGGTCTATTTTAGGTTCCTGGGTAATAAAGGTATGATTACTTGAGAAGTTTGCCTTGAAGCTGAAGGGAAATGCATTAATACAGTAGTGATTTATTGATAAACTAAGGATCTCTCAGTATTTGGGAGCATTACTATCTGGAATAATGAAGAGCCCAAGCTTCTAAAATGTTTTCAAGCCTCAGTTTGAGCCTCTTATGCTTTACAAATACATTTGAGTCACAGATTTGAGTCACTAAGGATAAAATCAGGTTCAGTTGAGCACGTGTCATCGTCGTGATTCCATCCAAAGCTAATTAAAATGTTTTTTTTCATCTTTGAGGATAATGAAAATACCTTCACACAGTGCTAAGTGTTGTTAAACAACCTTCTGGGTTTTTCAAAGATCTGCAGGTTTATATTTGAGAATGATGCGTAGCTTTGTGACGCAAATGCACTGGGATACATGAGTGGATCAAATTAGGGTGCAGTAAGCTCTAATGTAGAGACTTCAAGGGGACACGAACAAGTTGAACTGTTATTATTTCCAGAGAAGACCACTGAAGACCCCCTGGAACCTCTTCAAGGACCAGCTTTAAAACTACTGTTCTACAAAAATACAATGCAGAAAAAAATGCATGTGCAAAAAAGCAATAATGTCATCCCCAAAATCTACATAGACCAAAGAAGTTATTTTCCAGTATTTTAAGTCTGAGAACTCCTCCAAGCTGTCCCTTGAGTTGTTCATCTCAAACTGTCAGTAGCACTTCTTGTGTGTGCAAACGCATTACTCAGTTATTTCCTCTTCGC